CATGAAACACCCAGTTACTGGCGTGTTTCATGTAGACCTCGTCCCAGCAGGCCATGCCACTTTTTGGATATGCCTTCACCATCACCTGCTTACCCCCATGTGATACCACTCGGGTTTCTGAGGGAAGTAATTTTTGTTTCATGAAAAAGCCCGTGCTTGTAGCACCCCGTCCAGAGGGATCTCGAGATTCCCAGTCCGCGGGCTGCCCTGGCTTTTTGAGTTTATCTGCCCAGGTGAGTTGCGGCTGGCCTATACTCGATCCCTGGGCTGAGGAGGAGCTCTTCTCCTTATGCTGTGTTTCCCCCCGTAACTCTGCTTCTTTCTCCTCCTCCGTCAGGACCCCTGTGTCCACCATTTGCTTCCCTTCCCTGCTTAGTCCTGACTCCACCTGTAAGGGGGGCTGTGGGGCAAAATTCTTTGGGGTATTTTGCTGATGGGACCATCGTTTGTGCCGGAGGTGTTCGTCTGCCACTTGTCTCATCTGACCACTATAGACTGGATGGATGTGGGGGCGGCTTCATTGTACTTTTGGACCGCGGCCAGAATCTGTGGGCTGTGTGAGGACGTTCTTGGCCTGTTCCCAGTATCCGGTTTTGAGTTTGTCAGCCGGCCTGTCATCTGTGAAGGAAAAGATCTCCATCAGGGTCCAGTTTGTCAGGAACTGCAGATTCTGTTTGGGCTGAAGGTAGGAGACCTGAAAGTCATCCCGAGGTTGTCTGTGCCACTCGTACTTCGTGTGCCTCCACGGTTTCCAGTGATTGGCGAGAGTCTCATCCAGCTCACTGAATCGGTGCAGAGGGTCTTGCCATACCTGTCGGTATGAGCACAGAATAGCCTCTAGTCTATGGTTCTTTCACTTCTGGGTAGTCTTCTTGCATGGTCTTCCATGCTTCCTGGGTCCGCGACCGAGTCACATCCTCCATCACCTGTTGCGCTTGTTGGAAACCGAATTGGTGGTCCTTCCTCTCATAGGAGCATCGGGCCCGCCAGGCCAGCATAAGGACTTGCAGCCGCGTGTAAGAGAAGAGGTTGACTGCGAACGGGGAACGATGGGCCAACGGGTATCGGTTTTTGCCCAGCAACAGCAGGCCCAGGTCCCAGGAGATGCGGACAGACGTGAGGGAGTGGAAGGTCGCGTCCCACCATTGCCACAGCTGGGCCACCATCGGGCATGCAAGGAGATAGTGCTCCAGTGTGGCACGGGCAGGCGGTGTCGACCGGTCACAGTATGAGCACATGGGGGAGAGTTGCCCTTGCTGCTCCATGTCAGTCCTGCTGACCAACCAATCGCGGGTGGGCAGGCACCGGTGCAGGATGTGCCATTGCAGCGACCGATACAAACTTATCGGGGTACTGGAACAGGTACTGGTCC